ACCGTGAGATCATGACCTGAGCCGAAGTTGGACGCTTAACCGACCAAGCCACCCAGGCGCCCCATATCTCTTCTTTCTTAAACTTTTATTGAGGGAGCCTGGGTGGCTCAGTCGGTTGAATGTCCAACTTCGGCTTAGGTCATGATCTCACGGTTTGTGAGTTCGAGCCCCGCATCGGGGTCTGTCCTGACAGCTCAAAGCCTGGAACCTGATTCGGATTCTGTGTCTCCCTCTCTCTCTGCCCCTCCCCCACTCATGCTCTGTCTCTCTCTGTCTCAGAAATAAATAAACATTAAAATTTTTTTTTAAAAAACCCTTTTATTGAAAGTAGTTTTTATTTCTGGGCCACCTACCAGCTTGGCAATTAAGGAGCATATAGAACAATAATGATGTATTTATGTATTTGTTGAGCTTTTACTATGTACCAGACAGAGCATTAAGTGCTTCGTATGCATTATGAATTCTTGAACTAACCCTAGGAGGTAGCATTACTCCCACTGTAAAGAAAAGGAAACTGAGCTTAGCAAGGTTAAGTGACTTGGCAAAGGCCACGGTGCTAGTGACTGGCAAAATTACAGGTCTGCGTCATTCCAGAGCTTGTAGTCTTGACCTTTATGCTACACCATCCTCAGAGAACAGGGGCCAAAGGCAGACCAGGGTTAAATCCCACAGCTAATCCACCTAGAACCCACCTAAAATGACATTGAAGTTTTTAAATCTGCAACCAAAACCCAGCACTTTTAAAAGTATCTGTATTCTGGGGGTGCCCCAGTGGCTCAGTTGGTTGAGCCTCTGACTTTGGTTAAGGTCCTGATCTCAGGGTTCGTGAGTTCGAGCCCCACCCACGTTGGGCTTTGCAGTGATAGTGCAGAGCCTGCTTCAGATTCTCTGTCTCCCTCTCTCTCTGCCCCTCCCCTGCTCGTGCTGTCTCTCTCTCTCTCTCTCAAAAAAAAAAAAAAAACATTTAAAAATAAATACATAAAATAAATTTATCTGTATTCTGGATAATTTAACATCCAGGTTCATCCGAAAATCCTAATACAGCAATTCTCCTCCAGATAGAGCGGAGTCCCTCAGCTGCAGACCACACAGCGAATCCTTTGCCTTAGACTCTCGAAGCTCATGGCATTTTGCTGCAGGTGGGGTCAGGCAAAAAAAGCAACAATACTCTATACTCATCTCTGCAAACTGGGACTATCATTCATAAGAGTAAATTCGCTGGGACTGTCAACTCATCCTGTTTCTGACTCAAATAGGGAGCATGTCGGGGCGCCCGGGTGGCTCAGTCGGTTGGGCGTCCGACTTCAGTTCGGGTCATGATCTCGCAGTTTGTGAGTTCGAGCCCCGCGTCGGGCTCTGTGCTGACCGCTCGGAGCCTGGAGCCTGCTTCAGACTCTGTGTCTCCCTCTCTCTCTGCCCCTCCCCCACTCACGCTCTGGCTCCCTCTCTCTCAAAAATAAACATCTAAAAACAAAACACAAATAGGGAGCATGTAACAGAGGCTTCACAAGATAACAGTCTGTGGCTCCAGACTCTCAGAGGGACAGTCACTGTCAGGGCACTGAGGAGGGGAGTTTTAAACTGAGAGGTTAGATTTCCACTCCGTTTTCAAGGGCTTATTGAAACTCAGAGGGGAACCCTGATAAAGATTAAGTAATTCTTAGAGACGAAGTCAAACCCAGAAAGAATCCCTTCCCTGGGAGAAGCGGCATGCCGACAATTTGATGTGAGTGCCAGGAATTTAACTCAGGATTCAAGAAATTCACCAATAGAACTTGATATTTAAAATGCACTACAGAACTCAGCATAGTTGAAGCCTCATTCACCGGTTGCTGACCACGGCTAACACACAACTGCTTCTGTGTTAACAGACACGAGGCGTGCTGGGTGCAGAATGTCTTGGCTTCATTTAGGAGAAAGGAGAAGATTTAAGAGCAGATATAAACCCCTGGGCGCCAATTCTAAAACAGATGTCCACCATCCACACCCAGCAGATGGAAACACGCCTTTGTTTTTGTTTTTGTTTTTTTTTTTTATAGTCTTACCTAGAAAGCCCTCTGGCCGCTGCTTTCCAGAACTCAGATTCCAACAGACAAACCTTAGTGTGTTGCAAGCTGCCACGTGAACACAGCATGCACAGGGAGGGGGCGGCGTCGGGGTCTACTCACGCATGCAGTCTCCTCCGTACCAGCCCGCCCGGCACTCTGCGCAGTAGATGCCCTTCACGTAGAAGTCGTCCAGTGTGCCCCCCCACGAGCCGTTCCGGCAGGCCTTGCAGTTTTCAAAGATGGTACAGCCTGGAAAATTCCCCAGCAGAAGGATGTTAGGTTAGGCACTTATGGGTTCTGGGGCGCCTGGGTGGCTCAGTCGGTTGAGCGTCCGGCTTCAGCTCAGGTCACGATCTCACAGTTCGTGAGTTCGAGCCCCGCGTCGGGCTCTGCGCCGACAGCTCAGAGCCTGGAGTCCGCTTCAGATTCTGTGCCTCCCTCTCTCTCTCTGCCCCTCCCCCGCTTGCACTCTGTCTCCCTCTCTCTCTCTCAAAAATGAATAAATGTTTAAAAAATTAAAAAAAAAAAAAAAAGCACTTACGGGCTCTAATGGACAGCAGGAGAGAGACACCGTAACTTCTCAGGGCCCCATCTCAGATGAAGGCCTCTGGACCTAGAAAGGTGCCTGAGCCCTTGGGAAAAGATACTCATTCCTAGGAAAATGCCAGAGTCACCAGAATCCACAGCGAGGAGTCCAAGGGGGGGGGGGGGGTCTGAACCATCTTCCAAGTTAGTGGCTGACGTTTTGAAGTAACATGAAACTACTTCTAGTAAAAGCTAGAATCTGTCTATCAACGTAGCATATTTATTTCTCTTTCTAAAAGTATTATGTCCATATTGTGGAATATTTAGAAAATTCAGACAGGCAAAGAGAATTAAATTAAAAACACCTAACGGTCCATCACCCAGGAGCAACGATTGGTAACACACCCTCTCTGTGTATATACAAAAACACATTTTCTTAAAATTAAGCTTGAGTCATAGACTGTACATTCTGTTTTTGTAACTTACTTTTTCAGTTAATAATAGATAGTATCTTCCTGTTCTGTTAAATAGTCTTCTATACCATATACTTCCATAACCCAAGTATGCCGGGGAAACAACCTCAACGCCTAATAAGGGGCTCACCCCAGAACGTGTTGCCCTGCCCCCACCAGCAGGCCACACCAGAAGGTTGAGCAGCTCCCAGTTAAGGGTCATTTTTAAAACACAGTCTCTTGGGGCGCCTGGGTGGCGCAGTCGGTTAAGCGTCCGACTTCAGCCAGGTCACGATCTCGCGGTCCGTGAGTTCGAGCCCCGCGTCGGGCTCTGGGCTGATGGCTCAGAGCCTGGAGCCTGTTTCTGATTCTGTGTCTCCCTCTCTCTCTGCCCCTCCCCCGTTCATGCTCTGTCTCTCTCTGTCCCAAAAATAAATAAACGTTGAAAAAAAAAATTAAAAAAAATAAAAAATAAAAAAAAAATAAAACACAGTCTCTTGAGGGGAGGGGGGCAGTGATGAAAGATAGAGATAATTCGATCCCACTTATCAAAATGGAGGGCTAAGTTCTCCGGCTGTGTTTCCCTGAGCGAACTGCTGAAGCTCTCCGTGCATCATGTTATCATCTGTAAAACAGGGGTAAAAACTGTACCTGCCCCTAAGGGTTATTTTAAAAATTAAATGAACACATACATATAAAGGACTCGGCACATAGTACATACCCCCCAAATATGAACTATAATTCTTACTCCGCACTCCCATACCTGCACGTGGCTTATCCTACCACTGCACATAACCTGCTCAATGTTTAACTGCCTGCCTGTTTGCCTATGACGGACTGAGGTCTTGTTCAACAATATATTCCCAGCACTTAATGTGATATCTGGAACATAGCAAGTGTTCAGGAAGTACTATTTGAATGAATGAATAAATGGACGGGATGGACGGATGGATGGAGGGACGGGTGGGTGGATGGAGAGATGAACTGCTAATCCAGGTTTCTCAACCATTGGAGACGACCAGCGTTTCCTTGAGCTGATAGCACACCTCTGTGATCTGGGCTGAAACTGGGTTTTCATCCGCCCGTAGTGTGCACTTGTAGTCCCCTCTTTGCACACCACCCTGATGCGGCTTCCCTGTCCTAGTGCTTCCTCCCACCAGAGAAGAAGAGCTGCTGATATGATTCATCAAATCCCAGTGGGTCATGTGGCCCACAACCGGGTCCCAGGGGAGTCACCGTGCTTTCCAAAGGCCATCTTCACCCATGTGCCACTTTCCCCGCTTTGGTTCCCTATCCACTCTGCCACTGAGGAGGCAAACGGACTCCGAGTCTGCCCCTAACTACCCCGCCAACTCTCTCTCTGGGCACAGTAACTTCAAGGCCTTTGGGTGCAAGCCACAAAAAACGGCCAGGTGATCAAGATGAGCAAGGCGATGACGCAAAGACACCAAGTAGCTCACGGCATTGCCAGAAAAGCCAGAGGACTGAGTTCAGAGCTACCTAGCCTCAAGCCACACGAAAATACACGGCACACTCGATCCAGGGAGGGCCCGAGTGCTGCGGGACACCGTGGGACATCACTACTGACATCCCCACCACCATGTGCCTGGGTGTGGATGCCTGTAACCACTGCCACCAGAGGAGATGGTTGTCTACCATAATGAGGAAAAGAATAGAGATTCTAAAACTGTGCTGCGATCCCATCTCTCACCTTTGAGACTGGCAAAAATCCACAATGATTTGTGTCGCAAGGCTTTGGGAAAACAGCACCCTCATATCCGGCTGCTGAGAATGCCGAGTGCACGGGGGATGATACAAAGGCCGGCAACGTGACATAGGCACCTCTCTTTGACTCAGCAACCTCTCTTCCAGGAACCTACCCCAAAGAACACTGCAAAATACTAAGTGATGTATGTCTAAGGCTCTTCGCTGTAGTATTATTTATAATAGCAAAAGGCTGGAAACAACCCAAATACTCATAAACTATAGGAGTCCACACAATGCAGTTACATGCAACCGTAAAAAGAAATGGAAAAAAAATGGCTTTATCTATCCGGTCAGTGAGTGATCTCCAGCATATAGTGTTAAGAGGAAGACAAAAAGCAAGGTAGTTAGCGGTGTTTATCGTAGGCTGTCTTTTGTGCCAGGGGAAAGATATATAAATGTATATACAAATGTGTATTTGCTCCTGTTGTCAAATACAGAACACAGATGGAAACAAAAAACCTGCCTATATATCAAGTACGTGGTGTAACACCACAGACGAAAGAACGACTATATTTAGGGGGATGTAGCCTAAGGTCAATAAAAACCGTAATAATCAGTGGCCTTGTTAGTATTAATGGTGTTACCGCAAAAAAAAAAAAAAAAAAATAGTACTATTGCTATTTTGTACAATGATATTATGCTATAAGATAAAGCAAATAAGTGATTAGGTTAATACCATTAGGAAACAGTGTCTTCACCATGACAGAAAAGACACGCAAATATAAAATTAGCAAAGTTAATTAAACCACCTCGGAATACGACATTTGCACTTGACTACCGGCATAAACTCCTTTTTCTCTTTGTTTAAAAATACGTATTTCCTAGCCCCATCCACTTTAAATAAATAAATGATAGCCTAGTACAACAAGGACAGTTCAGGGACAAGGAACATGTTTGGAGCCCAGATTATGGCGTCAAGCCCAGAATTCCTTGGAGGGATGGCTGATTCCAGATCTGGGGCAGAAAATACACAAGAAGGGCCCGAAATCAAGTAAGATCTCAAACACTAGAGTGGTCATGTCAGAAGAACACAGATGGACACGGAGGGGGGCCCCCCAGTGTCCTGAGATAGGGGGATGTATGCATGAAAATGAATCGTGACTGCAATGGATTAAACCACATAAGTAGAAGCACCTAAGTTCATAATTTCACACTGACACACACCATGCACACGTTTCTTTGATCACCAGTAGGAACTGCTAGGGCATCAACTCACTATTCTGAAAATGAGAAAAAGAAAACAAGCCTTTATGTAACCTGCCCTTTCAGGAACAACTAGCTGGTCACCGCTTAGGTCCAAAGATCATTCCTAGCATTCCTTAAGGGGGCGACACCGGGTGCCTCGTGTGTGACGTAACAGGAAGATGTTGGTACGGCTGAGACAGGTGTTGACTGCCGTCTGTACAATGTAGCAGGAAGCACAAAGCACCACTTATGAAGTTCTCTTACTTATCATGAAATCAAAGCCCCGCCCTCACCCCAACAGTGACCACCAGGCTTTTGGAAATACTGAAAATCATCCAAAGACTGATGTCACTACCAAGGATCCCGGGTTGAGAGACCCTGGTTTCGTTCTCAAAATTTCCTTAGAAAATCTGGAAGCATTACTCAACTATTTCCCTCCAAACCACACTAACCACCAGAAAATTGGGGCCGTTGGTTTCTTTTCTAGATCAAATGGACAAAGGCTATACCGAGGTCACTCGAATTTCCAAACTCAGCATTGCTCTCTTCTAAGAAGGAAGACAGTTTAGAAATATCACTTGTTTACTTGAGCCCCATTTTCTTTCCACTTCTATAGCTTCCCACAAAAGAAACTTCCTGGTAGTTACGTGCGTCATTCTGGGTGTTTGTCAAAGAGGGGGGAAAAGCAGAAACGAGAGAAATTCCCCAAACACACTTTTGACATCCTTTCGGTCTTCAGCCCGAGGAAAGCGTGTTGGAAACTCTCTACATCTTCCTTTTGATCTGGCCTATGAGGGAAAAGGTAAGACGCCCCTGGGAAAAGCCAGACGCGCCAGGGAGCAGACAGGAAAGCGCCTAGAAATTGTTCGGTGGCTTGCTAATCACATTGGAAACATCTTCAGTCTGAGGCTCGGGGTGTTCACGGGCCTCTGGGCAGACAGGCACTGCAGTGAAAAACGACAATCACTGTCCCCTCAGTGGTGGGGATACGGTGGCTCGGAAGAAGGCAAAGAATGGTACACGGTGGCCTGGGAAGGTCCCGTCTCACCTTCAGATGCTCTTATATTACTGGGACCCCCTCATAAATGTCCAGCTCAGAGCCAGAGCATCATCCTTGACTTCTGCTTTTCCCTTCCCTTCCCCATCCAGCCAATCCCAAACTGTTGTCAATTCCACTCCCTTGCATTGCTCTGAAATCCCGCCACCTCGGGAATGAATGCAAGGCTTCGGCATTCATTAAGGTCTCCGTTCCTCCCCCCCCCCCGCCTCCTGGCCTGCCCTTCCTCTAATCCTTTCTCCATACCTCAGCCAAAGAGAAAATCGTGTTTCACGTCTCTACTCAAAGATCTCCAATGTTGCTAAAATTTCTTCAGGATATAGCCTAAAGTCAAAGCACAACGTGCAAAGCCTATCGGGGCTTGGACCCTCAGATAGCTCTCTTAGAATCATTTCTTTTTGTCTGTTTATCACTCTTCATGTTTCTCATCTCTCTCTCTCTCTCTCTCTCTCTCTCTCTCTCTCTCTCTCTCTCACACACACACACACACACACAACACACAGCTTCCTTTGGCCAGATGAGGAACATGCAATTCCCAAACCCCATGCTTTCTCTTGTCACAGGGACTTAGCACATGCTCTCGGCTACGGCTTGAGCCCTCTACCACACCCCCTCCACCCCGTTCAGTTTGCTGTTTCCACCTTCCGCACACCTATCACCTCCTCCAGTAAGCTCCACTGCCACCCTCCGTCACCATCCCCGCTCCCATGGTACCTGGTGCTTCTCTATCACAGCACTCCCCATGCTGTGTACTGTAGCTGCCTGTTTACTCGTCCATCGCCCCCGCCAGGCTACAAGCTCTGGGAATGCAGGGAATATGTCTTTTTTTAAAAAAACATCATTGTATTCCCAGTATCTGCTATGGTCCATAGGAGCTGCTGAGTCTTTCATTAAATGACCGAAAAAGTGGATGGATTCACAGCTTTCCCATGTTAGCGGTGAAGAGGGTTCTAATTCCTCCACTTCCCTGGCCTGAAGTTAGAACAGGGCAGAATCATGCCTCTTTTCACGTCGCGGCATCACAGCCTCCTGGTATCCGTCGGCCAGGATGTTAAGCCTCTTCCCATTCACGACCTCAGGAAAGCCGAAGGCAGCCTGAGGTCTCGCATTCCACGCTCACCTGGGTGAATGAGGCAGGAGTCGCACTCATTGTCCTCGTTCCTGCAGCAAGGGATGGTGTAGCCCACTACCTCCTTCTTTCCAGGGCAGACGCATTCGATCTGATCGTATTCACAGCACTCCCGACACATGATATTCCACTCGGCTCCCGGGCAGGCCTCATTAATGACCGTGTACTCTGAAATGGAAACCGGCAGCTGAGCACAGGGGTTCTGGTAGGAAGGGGTAAGACCCATGAGGGCTCTACTGGGACGATGCAACCTTGCCCTATAAAGGCATCATCCTGGGGCGCCTGGGTGGCTCAGTCGGTTGAGCGTCCGACTTCGGCTCAGGTCACGATCTCACGATCCGGGAGTTCGAGCCCCGCGTCGGGCTCTGGGCGGATGGCTCGGAGCCTGGAGCCTGTTTCCGATTCTGTGTCTCCCTCTCTCTCTGCCCCTCCCCCGTTCATGCTCTGTCTCTGTCTCAAAAATAAATAAACGTTAAAAAAATTTTTTTTTCAATAAATAAATAAAATAAATGCATCATCCTGCCTGAACAATAGAGAAGGCCGTGGGGATTCTTCCTAGGCCAGTGTCTCCAAAGTGGGGTGGCCTGACCTGAAGGGTGTTCAAAACCATCCACCGGGGCACAGACGAAATTGTGTTAGAAGTATTATTCATTTTTATTTCTTAAAAAAAAAAAAAAAAAAAAAAAGCTAAGAACTGATGTTTTATCAGTATATAATCTGTGCGAATACACAAAAATAATATAAACAAGTATACATTTCTTGAGTGTCTATGCCCATTTCTATTTTTGCTGGGGTGCATCCGGCTACTGCTTACAGCTACATAGGTTGTACACTGCACAACTCCAGGAGGAACCACTCAACTGAACACCTGTAGAGCATAGCCCAGACATTTGGGCCATCAAAAAAGTTTGGAGACTACTCTCTAGACGAGGCCATTCAAGTTCAAGGCTAATTGCCAAGCAGAGACCATGTCATTTCCTCCAAACTTGGCTCCTCGATTTTGCAGCATGCCATTTTTATCGTATCTTCAAAGCTAACACCAACAAAAAAGACAAAAAGTATCTTAATTAGTATGTCTGGGAGAATTTCAATGTTTTACCAGGGTGAACTCATTGGCAAAACTTCATTCAGTCCCCAAATACAACTGAGCGTTCTTTCCCATGAGAGAGAGAGAGAGAGAGAGAGAGAGAAGTATTTCTGGGTAGAACTTCTGTCTTTCTTTCTTTTTTAAAACATACCTTAAGTAAATGAAAAATAAAAACCATCTGGTAAAATCTATAAGAGGACTCGGTTGGAGGCTGCCCAGAGGAACCCAGCCTAAAAAACAGACTGAGTTTTGATTGGCTCTTTTTTCTCATCCACTCTCAGTTTCTAAAAATTTTGCACAAAGACGATGACTGAAGAAGAAATAGGTCAGATATTTGAGGGAGAAAGCGAATCTGGCTTCTCTGTGAAGTCGTCCCTGAAAACCCTGGGCAAGGATCCCCCAACATGCTTTGCAGGCCCACATAAACCAACACTAGGATCTGTGGTGGCTTCTGACCTCTCAAATTTCACAGTTTAGTTTTCTGTTTTCCCCTCCTAAATTTGGAAGCCTGATTCTGAGTTGATCATCTTTAACCTGCCAGGTAGAACCATCCAGAGAAACTATCACCATCTCCTGTCAGCCTCAGGTCATAAGAACATTCTAGCATCATAGCAAGGAACCACTTGCATAATAAGAGATGGTTCCTGACATGGAATAAATTTAGCTTTTTGAAAAATTTTCTAATTTTCCCCCCACAAACTTTGGCCAGCCAGCAAAGGTCCTCACGATGGCATTTGGGAGTGATTGGTAGAGATTACTGTAATGTCACTAGTGAGGTTTTGTTTCCCCCACTAGTTTGCAGGCCCCACCAGGACAGACACCAGGATAGATACTCGGCTTCCCATGTTTCTGATGTTGGCTGGATGAAGTGAATGACTTCTAAAGTGTAGACAAGGGGCGCCTGGGTGCCTCAGTCAGTTAAGTGTCCGACTTCGGCTCAGGTCATGATCTCACGGTTTGTGGGTTCAAGCCCCACGTCAGGCTCTGTGCTGACAGCTTGGTGCCTGAAGCCTGCTTCGGATTCTGTGTCTCCCCCTCTCTCTGCCCCTCCCCTGCTTGCTCGCTCTCTCTCAAAAATAAATAAACATTAAAAAAATAACTTAAATAAAAGAAAATGCAGATGAGAACATAATGGTTAAAAATGAGAAAGAGCAGGAGAAAACACAAAGGTAAATCTCCATCATATTTGGCAACGAGTCCTTAAATACGACCCTTAAACATGAACAACAGAGAAAAAACAGATAGATGGGGCTTTATCACAATTAATAAATTTTCTGCAACAAAGGACATGTCAAGAAAGTAAAAAGACAGCCTACAAAACGGGGGGAAAGATTTGCAAATGAAAGATTTGATAAGGGCTTCGTATCAAACATACATAAAGAACTCCTACGACTCCACCTCAGAAAGACAAACAGGCAAGTAGCATGAAGACGTATTTCTCCAAAGAAGATAAACAAATGGCCAATAAGCTCATAAGAAGATGGCTGACATCACAAGTCACTGAGGAAATGCAAAATAAAACCATGAAGAGATACCAGCTCACAGTACCGGGGTGGCTACAAAAGAGAAAAATAATAAGAGGTGGCAAAGATGTCGAGGGACTGGAACCCTCGTGTGCCGCTGGTGGGAAGGTAAGGTGGGTGCAGTGGAAGCCAGGGTGGCGGTTCCTTCAAAGGCAAACATCGAAATATCACTGAGGCCCAGCGATTCTACTCCCACCTACCTTCCCAAAAAATCAAAAATAGAGACTCAAAACAGATGTGTGTAGGCCAATGTTCATTGCAGCATTATTCCTCGGAGTCAAAAGGTGGAAACAACCCAAGTGTCCATCAGGAGATCAGTGAGTAAATAAAATGTGGTGCAGGATACAATGGTACTCAGACCGTGGAATATTACTCAGCCACGAAAAGGCATGCAGCACGGCTGCTACCTGCAGGTGCCCAGTATGGACAAGATATGGAGAAAAATAAACAAATTAACCTGCACTTGCCTTTGAAAACCTTCATGGCTGGTGTGAGGGAGACAAGAAAGGAGGGTTGTTGTGTGGGACGACTTCCACTATCACTGACCGATGTTGACTACAGTACAGTATTAATAAACTCTTGTCATACACTGTATTTAATGTAACTGGCAATAAGGCAGCAGAGGAACGGGTCTCTATCTGCAGGACCTAGAATGAAGCAAAGCATTCCTGAGCTTACTCTTGTATGGAAAAGCAAAGGACTGTCCACCGGTGCTTCGAAGTGACAAAAAATACACCAGTACCGGCTGTGGGCACCTTCCAATGTTCTGAAAAATCCCTGATTTCTGCCAAACACCACGGCCTGAGACCGAGCATCCAAGCACGGGAGATGATCGCCCACCATCCCACAGCGAGAGAAGAGACAGAAGAGCCATTGGCTCAGCTGTGATCATGTGACATTCGGCATCACATACTACTCATATTGCAAGACATGGCTCGTTTCTCAAGTCAAAATTTATTAGAAATGCTTGCTTGTTTTGCACAACACTCACAGTCCAAGGTTTTACTATATAGCATACCAGTTCCTTACTTAAAATGTTCATGTTGGCTCCCACTGCGTTTGGAACAAAGCCCAAATGCTCCGTCATGGCCCACAGGCCTTTGAGAACCCACCACTCCCTACCCCTCCAAACGTTTTCTTGGCCATGGTCTCCCACCTTCTAGAAGTTTCTCAAAACCACCAAGCTCTTGTCCACCTCCGGGCCTTCACGTTTGCTTTCCCCACTGCCTCTGTTTCACGCTTTTAGGCCTTATGATAAATGACACCTGCTCAGAGAGGTTCTCACTGACTTCTCCCCGGGAAGTGCATAGCTCCACCCGCCCCCTCCATGACAATCTCTACTAAGTGCTCCCTTGTCTAGCCCTTACCACAACTTATACTCATTTTCTGCATTTCCATTTACTTGCCTATTGTCTGCATCCCTTACATGACCATAAGCTGGTAGGAGCCACATCTAACTTGTTCACGGCTGCTAGGGAAGGGTCTGGCACACAAAAGGCGCTCAATAAATGCTTATTGAATGAATCCGCCTTAACACCCGAGCTACCTCTCTTCAACAGTCCAGTATTTCCATCCAGTAGGTCCTGGCTTGGAGCTACAAGCCAGGGGAGCTGGCTTCATCCCATAATTTGCTATTGGAACTAAGGCACTTTCCATCTGTAGAGAAGTGCCTGGGACAGTGGGTCCAGGCTATCTGCCTCGGGTCCAGCCCCCACCTTGTCCAGCCGTGCACAATCTGAACCCCGGGAACAGCAAATATGCCTGTGGGGTGTGGCTCGTGTCTTAGCCCTCCCTCTGTTCACCTTAGGGTAAGCCCTACATCCTTCAGGCTTTTCTAAGAATTTATAAGCACGAGTAACTCCTGGGAGGGCAATAGCAGGATAAAAGTAATTTGCAACTTTTACAAGCCTTTAAACTTAAGAAGGCCAAGTGAGGTCGGCTCTACTCCAACGGAGAGTGACGTCCATTTCCCCCTAAGCAGCAGGCAACACCTCTGGCCCAGCCATGGAATATCCTGGCCTCCTTTTTACCCAGAAATTAATTCCCTAAAATGCCTTCATTGACATTTCTTTTAACTTCATTGAGCAAGTCCACCTCTGCCCTCCCAAGCCCATCATATTAACTTCATAGGTAACGTCCCAGGCCCAGCATCATTGCAAGGACCCTCGTAAGAGGGAGGCAGGATGCTCAGAAAGAGGTGACAACAGAAGCAGAGACTGGACTGACGTGCTCTGAAGATGGAGGAAGGGACGACGAGCCAAGGGACACAGGCAGCTTCTGGAAGCTGGACAAGGCATGGGAACAGACCCTCCCTGGAGCCTCCTGAAGGAACGCAGGCCGGCCGATACCTCGATTTTAGCCTCAGGAAACTCATTTCAAACTCCTGACCGCCGGAACTGGAAGAAATAAAGGTGTGCTGTTCTAAGTTACTAGTAAGTCTGTGGTAATTTGTTACCGCGGTAACATACTAACAGAACTAACATGCTGCGTCTTCTCAGAAAAAATAAATAAATAAAGGTTTAACCACCCCGTCCCTCAGTTTCCCCACTGAAC